TTGGGTGTGAACTTACGGAAATTGCGTCTCAGGACTCAGGACGAGAATGGTTTTTTTTACACAATGCTGTTTTGTACGATAATAAATCACAAAGAAAATAAAAAAAGAGTACAATAAAGAAAACTCTAGTATAAGGAGATGGCTATCGGCGAGACGACTGTGGCCCGCTGAGGTATTTTTGATGATATAACATGAACTCGGATTTGAATGGGACGACGCAACTAAAGTACAGTTGCAAGTTAAAAATGGCTGTGTGGCTTAACGACGACGTGTACAGATTCAGCTGTAATTAGGTGCGTTGTCGTTTGAGATGTTCATTCATTTGTTATTTTCCGCAAAGTCTTTTATTTATTTTCCCCTCGTGTATTTTTCAAAATAGCTATTATTTGTAACACCTTTACTTGTTTTTGTTGTTCTTGTTCTTGTTGCTGCAAACAAGCAGTGATTACACTCTTCCGGTGCACCACGCCATGTGTAACGAACTCGCGTTTGCTGTCAGAACTGAGAAACTTTCAAATGCTTTATAGGAGCAGCTAACGGCGATAGGGCACACATGCAACTTATTGTGGCAATTAATAACACTCGAAGCCTCAATATATTACCGTCGTAATAAACTAAGACCACCGACACGTTATTATATAACTAAATGTATCACTGGTAATCGATTGGGTTACGGTTGGAAACGTACAACTGCCACAAATACATCCGATGTGGTGTGTGAAAGACAGATAGATAGTTTAAATATATGTATATATATATATGTAAAAAGGGCCCAGCCCGTATATAATAATAATAAATAAATAAATAGTTTTGATTAGAAAGATAAGCTCAAAAGACTACTATTACGCACAAATTATACGACCTTTTTTCATCTTGACGGATATTTTTGAGTTCGATACAAAACATATAATAAACCTTCAACCTTTATAGATTAAAACCCCCAGTTAAAAAAGTTAAATTAAAAAAATATATATTAGATTAAGCCTAATAATACGTTTTTTGGTGCCATAACATAATAAGGACTATTCGTTTTGAGAAGTTTTTTTTATTTATGGTAAGCCTCTTCAAATGTACGAGTAAGTATAAATTGTAAAACGGTTGAATATAAATTAACTGAAGCTATAAGTGTGTTCGAAGCTAAGGTACAACCCATAGCAGAAAAATATTATTTTTTAAAATAAACCTAGGTGTCATCAAACGTTATAATTAAATTGTAACCGCTATGGTCTGTAGTCTATTTTCACAGGTAGGTCGAGCGGTACCTTATATATTATAATTGAACCAGTGTGCAAATTGCTGTTTTACTATTATAAACCGTCAATGTCTTGTGGGCACCGAAGCTGTTAGAAAACTTCTTCGGTCAAACTATTAGTGGTCTTAAAGTACTAGCCAATTAGGTACTTTCGCATAATTCACAATTGCCTTATAATTCTTTGGAAATGCGTAAAGCTTTTAAATTCGTGCCAAAATAGTTAAAACGGCCGGTTTAATAATAGTGTTATCCATTTCACACGAGCATGAGCATCCGAGTTTAAAACTGTGAACAATAATACAAACTAAACAACTTAAAAAGCCTAATACTCACCGGCATACGCCGGTCTCACTACAGTTATTATTCATTTTAAGTTTTACCTTTCTACTATCCAGTATTTATTTGAGTAAACGATGGTAGGAATAATTTTCTTTGAAAAATAACAAATACTTCCACACACACTTTGGCTTGAATTCTCGAATGACTGTTAAAATCTCATCGATAGTTTACAATATAAATTCCTTCATGCCATAAAACTGAGGGACTACATTATTTATATATAAGACAAAGAAATGCTTTTTTTGCCCAATAAATAAATATTTATTAATAAAGAACTCATATTATTATATCAACGGATTATAAACTTAAATTGGAATTATAATTAGAAATAACATAATAGAAAGTGGTCTGTATTTTAATCTTTTAAAAATAAAATTTTTGATGACTTTTTATTTTTAGCGCAGTTGCGATCAGGTGCTGTTCTATTCTGTCTAGAAGTCATTATTTTTTATTTACTGAATTTATTATGTGGTATACAAACTATAATTTTGTAAATTTTCTATTAAAAAAAAAAAAAAAAATACAATCTATCATAAAATATTAAATAAGAAATCATCTAGTACGGATTATTATTATTGGAGTTTTTTTTTTGAGGGGAGTATATAAAAATAAATGATGCGCAATCAATTTAAGAAAGGGCACTGCTACTACATTACTATATTGCTACTTTACAATCACCCAAAGTTGTCATTTTGATTTTTTTTTCCAATTTTCCAATTTTACTTATTTGTTTTTTTATAATATCAAGAAAGTAAAATCCTGCATGGTCAATACGTTCAAACCTTAATTGTTACTATACTTGGAACGACCGTCGGTTTGGTTTGTAGTTACAAGGTGATTCATTAAGGATAAAATACTGATTATTTCTTAAAATCATTTTAATTTTGTAGTTTTTTTTTTAAACATTTTTCTTTTTGTTTCTATACAATATTAAAATGTTTATCGTTTTTTTCAGAGCTTTATCAATTTTTGAAACTTGAATGGTACCGTAGATTTTAATTATATCCTTAAATTAAGAACAATTTTCTGAAAATGTTGATTGGTCCATAATTATTTTTATAAAAAATCAATAAATACGTATATAATCTTGGCCAATATCATATTATCTTATGTGGCGTTTTATATACTATTGGCTGAAAACATAGATATTTTTGCCTAGACACTATCGTATCAGACGATTTTCGGACCATTGCAAGGCGAGGCGGCGATGCGATCACTCAATCTATTTGGTTTTGCATTCAGAACGTCATAATTCAAAGACTTGCAACTAACCGGACGGGACAAAACCATTGTGGCAGCCAAAAACGAACCACTTGGGTGCCGTTTGGCTCGATATTCCGATGCCAGCTGAAGTTACCAGACTTTGATACCAATAGCGCCATGCAATCATGCTGTTGCCCCAACGGTACGATCGATCTTGGCACGTCGATCACTGCTTCTGTTAGACCAGCAGCAGTAACAGCAGCCATTTCCCGCCGCCCAACTCGACTACCGTGCAGTGCGGCCACGCTACGCATGGTCGCTTCCAGTATGTGACTATCACTTGACGTCTATGGAGTTTGCACGGAAGAGTCGGAGTTTTTAAACAGATGACAGGATAAGTCTGGCATATAACCGAAATTCAATAAATAAAAAATTATTTTGCTTGAAACATTGTGGGCGTTCTCTTTTTGAAATTTCGAAAGAAATCGATTTAGTCTACTTGTGGCAACTACAATCCCAACAAACCAGAAAGATGATCTTGGAAATTTAAAATCCTTCTAAACCCCTGCAGGCTCTAACAAAATATCTGCAACCAATCAAGCATATTATTCACCAGACCCTATCAACTAACTAGTATTGTAACGACAGACCGCAAAGTGCACAGGAATAGTTAGATATGTGTATAGATGGTTAAAAAAGTACCTTCTGTTCATTATGCCACTTGTTTTCTTTTAGGTTTTATGCCAAACGAATTTTATATTGTATTTTTTTCTCTTTAGTTATGTATGTATGACATTTTACTGCGGACAAATTAGTATCTAATTGCACATATTATGACTTATACTTTTGCAGCTGGTCGACTAGATACCGTGTGCTATAATAATGTTTGCGTGCGCCCATTGATCGTGTAAGCAAATAATTGCAAAGTTTAAATAATCATAATACTGTGAACCAAATTAAAAATACATATGTCTAACGATAAGAGTGTAGTTAGTCCTCCAATAAAGAGTCTGGATCAAGGTACAACTTATAAGACATCTAACCGAAATATAGTTGATAAATCTGCTTGATGCATTTTTTCGAACGAGCTTTTTATATATAACTAATGGAACAATAGGTGACGGACGAATATTATTTTATTTCAGGTCCTCTTATCTATTACATTTGAATTTTTATACAAGGATTAATGACATTCGCGGTTTACGCTATACATTAGGGAATGTAGTATGTAGTAGAATATAGCCGTGGGAAAATAAATTAAGCATTACAATTTCATAATTTGTAATCAATATTTAGCTGTACTAAAGTTTATAATATTGTGTACGTTTCTTTTTATTCAGGTTTATTCCTAGGGCGTAAGCAAAGATGACATTAGTACCCGGTCACGCTATTATTTTTGTTTACCGTACTCGAGATAAAATAACTGTAAGTCGGTACTTTAGTAATTCACTACCAGCACAAACTTATTGGTCTGCTCACCATTTGGACAGCTTTAACGCATACAAATGCTACGCTATTAACTTGCAAAGTACTCTGAGAGCGTCGGAAGGAATGAGAAAAAAAAACGATACTATTTTCAGATTAGTCTAAGTTAAAGTTCAACATTTATCGTCATTATTTTTATTATTTCGGAGACTTTAGGCGGATCAAGGAAACTAATAAAACGTACTGATGTGATTTTCGTCCGGACAGCTGAATAATTGTAATATTGAATTAAACAAACATATACAGTTTAGCATGTTATACGTCTTATAGAGCGTTTAATTTAAGATTTATAACTTTTAAGGATATTTCGTGTGGTGGTTACCTCTCTTTAACGTATACCAATATTATAGTTTTAAGGCCACAAAACAATAGTTCATTTGTATGTAGATACAGTAAGGTGTTTGACATTCACGCACACACTTTGCTTGGACCGGGCTATCATAAGTAATTTCCGACCTGCGGAAGCTGTGTGAATAATTTATCGTTGTACGTTCACATTAAAACCAAATTGATAGAAAAAAAAACCTCCGAAGTATTAGGCTTATGATCTAAGTAAACGTAAAATGTACAGTTGTTTTTACAACTGAGCTATGAGTAATATTGCTATTTAATCTTCGACGGTTTAGCATTTCTATTTCATCAATGCTTGACTCGATACAAACCTCTATTTAATTAACTCCCTGTACTGGTATTTAACAATATAGTAACATTAAGTACTCACCCGGCACACGATTACCGAGTCTTGTCCTCTCCAAGATATCTTCACGGGTTCGTATACTCTGTCCACGAACCGGGTTGATTGGTGCAAAGACGCCATGATCGATATCCAAGCGACACACTTAAGGACACGAGGCATGGTACACCATGTCCTGGCTACCGGAGCATGACAAACGTATATGTACCTGAAAAAAAAATATAAAGATTTAATTAATAACTTACTGTGTTAATATTTGATCTGATACACATAAAGTCGTATAAAGTACTATCGAGTTGATTAATAAAATACCAAATATAATAGTTTGTATTCTAAAAATATTTCATAAATAATTATTTTCTCTGCTTTTTAATTTAAAAAAAAAATGTAGTTCTTATGAGGTGCTTTCATCATAGTAGTAAATTTCCAAATGCATTAATTTTCCATCAAGGACTTCATCTACTGTTTGGTACAAATGATTGATTGTTGGACAAAAACAGTAATTTCGTTGTGCTGTTCATACAAAAGTACATTGTATTGAGTTGGAAACTTGGTTTAGAATAATTAGCAGCAAGAGGTTCTTAAACTGATCGCCAGACAAAATGCGATTACTGGCCTTACGCGTATAATCCCTTCAAACTTATAATCGCCCGTTAACATATATCAGTTTTAGCATATGAACTATAGTTTTTTTTTTAGATAATACTGAAAAAAGTCTAAAATAATTTTTGTACATTTTTTTATCGTACTACCAATATGGAACTCGTACATAATCTGAAATAATTGGTTGTTAATTTTTCGATTCATTTAAAAAATATAATTAAGTAAAATCATATGATTAATTTGTCTAAATCGTTGAAGATGGAAATTTGTAGTTCTTAGTGACGGGTACTGATGGTTGATTGAGGCCATTAAAATGTCAGACAAAGTAATGTTGTTTGTTTTATACTTTGTCGGCCTCGAACTCAAAATGGTTAAGTGATTTGTTTTCATTGTTTAAACGTGATATGATTAAAAGCTATGAGGAAGCGTCTGTGGAGTCTAATATTTCAAAACCATCACGAGATGTAAAACTATATGGAACTTTAAATAGGTGTATAATGGCTTTTTGCATGAACTATATTTACTTAAAATTTAAGTAGAGTTTCAATATTCTAATAATATCCTAAGATGATACGTTTAGTTTGTTTGAATAGGTATAAGTAACTACTAGTATAACTTAATAATACATAAAAGATTATAACTGCTAGTTATAAAATCGCTCATTCCTTGGTTTGTCTATAAAATTAAACCACACGCCAATTTTAGCTAGTTTTCAGATTGAAAACTACTTTTATAGTAAGTTCTGTCTAATCATAGCTTAAAAACTACATCAAAGTAATACTATGTTCAACTTGTCAATAATATTCGTTCTATAGTTGTATATTTGTACTATTATAATATAAGGGTTAACTGGTGAAATACACGATTCGTTGGTTATTTTTATTCAGAACAGATATTTCTACTATTGAAGTTCAGTGTCAACAGGACGTTCAATTACACACCAGTTTTTCCTGACTGACAAATTAGTCCCGGTCCTTATACGTTAGTTTTAAATGATTTGCACTCGGCTATGTACGGTTTGACAAATGCAGTAGGATAAGTCATCATACTGGTTGAAACTTCCATGCGATTATAAGCGTCCAACGTGGTGGTTTAGGAGACTAATATGCTTATGTTCGGGTCAAGTGTCGATTGGAATACCAAAACATATTCGGTCGGTTTACTGTGTCGTTTAGCTTATAAAATATTCTTAAGGGTACTTAACAGAATTATATGCCAGCTTAGAAAGATACGAGAGAACCGTGGGTTTTGCAGAGAGGGTACCCCTGTTGCCTGGACGCTAATGGAATACTCACTCGTTCGTATGCGAATTCCAACAGACACTACAATGACAGCGGTTTTGCGGTCTCCAAAGTATGATGATAGGGCACGTCGGCACATGGAAATCCTATTGACGGGCTTGCTAATCGCTTGTCAGTCTAACCGCTGAATTACTACGTGTCCTGTACGGCAGCTGTCAGTGCGAGTGGTGGTTTCCTTCAAATTACCGAATCAATTACAAGTACACACACTTGCCTATATCTACTAATTTTACCGCATAATCGCATATTGTTCTGCGCAAATATCGTCACGTCACGTTCGTAATGACAGAATATTAATTTCACCGTCGACACTTCTACAACCACCACCTCTAACCACTTTAAGCAGCTGTGTTTGAATGTTTCAATTGTTTTTGCGCGATTGCTGGAAGTAGGACTCTTGACCAATAATATTGTCTTTTATTCTGCCAATTGAAGCGTCAGTGAATAGAAATGAATGATTATGATTGTGGAGTTTTTGGTGGAATTTTAAGTTAAACTAGATTGCTAATAATTGGTTAAGTGTAGGGATGTTTAAGTGTTGATTATTTAGGTTAACGTTTGAGATACATATAGGGTGATTAACTTATCGTGAACCACTCAATATCTCACTGTGTTTAATTAATAATTTTTAATTTGTTTTTTTCATAATGTTTTTACACAATGTGATCTCAATTTCTCATAATTTTTTTATTTTACCCCACTCCCATCTTAGTTTTTTTGATAGCAACTTTTGAAACTTAAATGGTTACGCATTAATTTCATTAACTTTTTAAATTGAGAATAATGTACTAAAAATGTTGATTGGCGATAACCAGCTTTGGATAACTATGTTTAAAGTTATAAGAGTTTAAAAGTAAGGATGGGAGGGGAAGTGCGGTTGGGAAATTTGCGCAGATAAAAATAATATTACACTGCACCTTTCCTCCTGCCCTAAACTTGAAACTTCAATAACTTCAAAAATAGTTATTCAAAACTTGTTATTAACTAGTCAAAATGTGTAGTATATTTTTCTCAATTAAAAAAGTTAATGAAATAAAAAGAATTAATACTGTAAAATTGTTCCACGTTTAATTTTGTTTTTCAAAAGTTATATCACGAAGGGAAGGGATGAAAATCAGCTTTAAAATATAATTCAAATCTATTGTCGAGCACTTAAATTTATAAACTAAAACCATCGGGCAATGGGTTTCCAATTTTCCCAATGTATTTATGAATCTAAATAGGTTTTGAATAACCCACGAGCACGATTTGTTATCGCTGTGCTGATCATTAAACTGTTTGTGACAGTGCGATAAAATAAAGGGTTAATCAATTATTAATGGTTAATACTAATATATCTTAATATTAAAAATGTAGTAAATTTTTTATTAATTTCCAACATGTCAGCTTAAAATAGAACATCGTCAAGTAAATGGGTGGCGTTATGGTGTGTCTGCTGCAATGAATGACTCAAATGAAACAATTTCTTGAATTTTTGCCTCTACTTGAAACACAAACCGAGATTATTTATACCTATTATCTTTTAGACGATTCGTTAGCTCGTTTGGTCGCCGATTAATGCTTGCTTTATTAAAATTTCTTTGGAGGAAAAAAATCTTGATTAATCGTCGGTCCGTTGGAGAGAAATTACACTGTGGACATAATAATTGACTGAGACCTAAATGTTGTCGGTTAAAAAAACAATTCAATAAAAGCTATTGCTGATTGACCCGAAAGACATCGACGCCAGATGGTCGATGGAAACGTTATTGTCCCAAATTTGTTTTTTGTTGTTCTAGTGGGTTTCTATAAAATAATAATAATAACACTATTCATTGCTATTAGTCTCTGCGTGACTTCAACGCGACTAATGTAATTTTTTTCTGAATTTTCAACAAAAAAAAAACCATCAACAAGTTCGTATTGGGAACAAAATCTCGAGGAAACAAAAAAATACGAACAATTTTGTTCCGACCGAACAATTTGTTTTTATTAAAAAAATTATTTTGTTTTTTTTTAGATTTTCGTGCCAGCTGATTCCATTGCGCGTGGGTGTGTGTGTTTATTAAAGAAAAAAAAAATACCGGATATTTTGACACGACGTCGCGTTAACATTGTGTTTACCTACTTCATACCGAAATGGCTTTTTGTCGAATGAACGTCTTCTCATAATTTATCTATAACAAAATAAATTGTCTATTTACAGAGCAGACAGTTTATCACGTTAGTTCGTCGTTAATAATTGTATGATACGAGAATTGCAAAAAAAAATCTGTCTGTGCACAATAAACCTATACGTCCTGTTATTATGATATTTATCTACAAAGTGACGTACTTAACGCGGGACACTTAATATCACTTTATGTAATTACAATTTTGTAGATTTAAAAAAAAAAAAATTGTTAAATAATATATTTTACATATTTTAGAGCTCTATCAATACTTTTGAAAATTGAGCGGTATAACGTATGCACATAGTAATATTGTAATTATCATTTAATATACACAATATGTGTATTTTAATTTAACTTTTTAAGTTATTAAGGTTTGAAATCTATGACGGGAGAGGTTGAGTAATGCTTGCAGAAAAAAAATACTACATTGCACCCTTTGCGTTTTGTCTCAAGCAAACTGTTATTGATGTCCAATAATAATATTAGTTATTGTATTTTTACACGGTTAATGACGTCGCCACTATTATAAAATAAGCCTGTGTACAATACAATAGTGTATTATAGTAGGGCGGAATTGAAGTTAAATGCCAGACGTTAGTGATAAAATAACATAGTATATATTTTTCATTGTCACCGGATGCGATACAGTATAACGTTATTGGGCTCTAACGACTTAATTTACCGATATTTTTCATTACTCCTCAGCAGTCTATTAGGGTTTGATTGATCGTTTCTCAAGCTTCGGTTATACATATACTGGCTATGGTCCGCGTCATGGTAAGACAATAACGACATACCTTTTGAAAAAACAAAAATACTAAAATAGTATTAGAATGCGCATCTTAAGCGATAGTGTTGATACCTACTCAAGTGTAACTGCACTTAAACGGTACCTACTACAGAGTGTATTATTATACAAGCAAGGCAATAATTATTATTAATATAAAGTTTAAAAGGTGAAGAGGAAAACTTTCTGCTGTAAAGCACCGGCGTCAAGTCATGCGTCTAAACTTTAAGAAAAAACAACATCAAAAGATAGAGGTAGTACGGTTTAAAATGCGATAAGGGTAGTGAAAAAAGAGCCTCGCACGTTGTCGAGTGTATTTTCTTCATCCCATAAACCCGCGTTTCATTTTAAACAAAAGCTACCC